TTAGTTCCCATTTTTTTAACCGTATTGGGAAAGGCATTAAGAAAATGTGCCGAGAGGAGCTGGTTACGTTGGGAGTGCTATTTTGGTAACTGCCTTGTTGGGTTTTTTTATCACTTGCATGTCAAAATGTTCTGAGTTTTGGACTAGCAAAAAAAAACCAAACAAACAAAAAAGCACAAAGTGAGGCAGCCCTGCTGGGGGTACGTGTTGGGCTGTGTAACGTGAGGCTTGGATGACAGTAGCTACCAGCTTAGATTTTTATGGCTTTAGGTTTGAGGGTAAATCAGCCCGTTAAAACCTGCTGCTGTGGAATTTGAAGGGGAGAGGCTTTGGTGAAAACCCTGATGGTTTTTGACAGCTGGGTGTTTACCTCTAGGTCTGCTTTTGGGAGAGCTGACCTCTTTTTGGCATTGTCTACCTTTCCTCCAGTTTTGTGGAAAGATTCCCCTAAAGGTTGTTGGGAGGGGGGGGGTTAAGCAAAATGTGTGAGCAGTTGAGTCAGCCAGCACCGTGCCAGTTGTGCCTCGCCTGCAGTGAGCCGAGCACGAGTGTGGCAGGAGGATGTCTTTGTTGCCCTGGTTAGACTGACACTGGAAACTTTCAGAGATAGCATCTTCGTGTTTCCTCTTCAACTGTCTCTGCTTCGCATATGGTTGGATTGTTGGGTTTGGGGTTTGGTGGGTTTTTTTCCTCTTTTTTTCCTCTTTATTTGCCTGAGTCTCACCTTCTCTGTTCCTCCCTCTCCCCACCTCTCCCCCGGTTTGGGCTGCTTGGAGTCTGCACCCACTGGAGGGCGACAGTCCCCTTTCCCTCTCCCTGGGGTCCCAGCCCTGTCCGGGGTGGGGCGCACCCTGACCCCCACCTGCCGGCAGGCCCGGGGGGGGGAAAGACCATTTCTTGCTGCAATTTATTAACCCGCATCTTTGACTATAGGGTGTTAGGGTTATTTTCTGCCACGCGTGGTAACAAGCGGGAGATTGCAGGTGGCACTGTGGTGTTCAGCGGTACCGAGGAGGTGCTTGCGTGCTTGGGGGGTGCTAGATCAAAGTCCTGGGGCTTTTTATTTGTTTGTTGAGGGATATCGGTCTAGAATCCAGTAGAAATTTGGAATGCTTCAAATGCTGCCCATTTGTTGTTTGTTTGGGGTTTTTTTACTTTGCTGTGGCCAGAAGCAAAATTTGCTATACTGGTCTGTGTCCCTAGTCCCTGATTTGTAGCTTTTAGGTGGGTTGCCTGGAGGTGTTTTCAATGCCAGGGATGAAACGTTTCCGCCGTGGAGGGAAGCGTCAGTCGGTGTGAAATACCGGGTGAAAAGATGTGCAACACTGTTACAGAAAAATAGGAAAGCACTTTGGATTGGCTGGGTCTTGCTGCCCTCTGCTCGGGAAACCTCCCAGCCCCAGGGCGGGTTTGTCTGCCCGGAGAGCCTCGGGAGTATCTTGTCTTACAGCTAATTGTTGCAAATATTTCAATGGGTTTTCCCCAAATCGATACTTTGTCTAACCAAAACTGAGCTGCATCTTACGAGCTCCTGGCCGCGTCCTGTGGGCTGGCTGGTTCTAAAGGGGCTCTCGGATACAAACCTCCCAGCAGGCTGCCATGTTCTCCAGGCAGCCAGGCCCCTAAGGATCAATGAACCTCAAGACTCGTCAGCAACCCCCAGTTATTTTAATTTTGCCCCTTCTAGTTTCTCCAATGCCCTGCAGCGTTGCCCCAACAGGCAATAAGGTAACATTGCCCTGCTGCCCCTGTGGCAGTGTTGCCAGGTCCCACCAGTAAGAGGAGTTTTATAGTGTTGCTCTACTCAGTTTTTTGATTATACTGGCAAATTACACTGAAAAGATTATGCTGATTTGTTTCTTTTCAATTTAACCATATTACAACACATAAAAATGGATGAGAAAGCCATGGCAGTTAAAGCCTTTTGCAAGTAATGCTTATTTGATTGGTCATACTAATAAATTGTAGATCATTTAAGAAGTGCAGCTATGAATAGATTACCCAGTAGGATTAGTGGCTTCTTTGACATCTCACCACTAACTTAATTTATGTGACCAGAATGGATCAGGTTTATGTTTTTTAAAGCAATCCTATACAGTATTCAATTTATTCTGAAGCCACTCTGGGGTGGGGGCTGCTTGCAGGATTGGGTCTTTGGCATTTGGAAGAAATGCATGAGGATCAAAATGCAGCAAATTAATGTTTGTTGAGTTTCTTCCATACATGCTTATTTACTTGAATCCTCAGCTGTTGTAGTGCCATGGATTTAATTGATTTGTGCTAGCTGAGCATCATCCCAAGGCATGTAAACTCCAGGCAATACCCTTTAAATTGCTTTCAGTGTGGCTTATTGATGTAACATAATGTGGTAGAAATTGAGTGAAACTGCCACTACTGATTGTCCTTTCCCCCACCCCCTTAAAAGTGCCATTGGAAAGGCTACCATGCTGCCCATCTGTGCCTCTGAAACTGCAGCTCACGTGCTACAGCATCTTTTGGTTTTGTATCAGTCTCTCTGTTTGTTTGGGTTTTTTTGTTTGGTTGGTTTTTGGATTTTTTCAATGTGTCTCTATTTACACCAGCAAAAAGCCACTCAGTGCTCACCCTAAACCCTGCCCCAAGAGCATCCACCAAACCCACCAGCTAGGTTGATGGAAGGAGAGCGTGGATCAAAACCATGTCCTGCCTCCTGCACTGGCTGGGGGGTGGCACAGGGTGGCAGGAGGGTGGCTATTAAGACCCAGGAGCTGTTGGGAAGGCTGGTGCATTTTAGCAGTTGCTGGGTTTCCTGTTGTGGTTCACTGTCACCCAGAATGGTCCCAGTCTCAGAGAACGCCGTGGCTGCCTGACCTGCGTTTGAATGCAGTCAATGGTTGAGCACTGGCATGGAAAAATTATGACACTGTGCCAAAATGTAGCAGGAGTGTCCTGCTTTTGGGTGCTGGGGTGGATAGACTGCCCGTAGGTAGGAGAGCAACTCATGCACCGAGCCACAGGGTTATCAGTGAGCTGGAGTGTAGTTAGAAGTTCTTCCTTTTTTGCTTCAGATCACATGGCATTTGCATTAGGGCGGGTTTGTCTGCCCGGAGAGCCTCGGGAGTATCTTGTCTTACAGCTAATTGTTGCAAATATTTCAATGGGTTTTCCCCAAATCGATACTTTGTCTAACCAAAACTGAGCTGCATCTTACGAGCTCCTGGCCGCGTCCTGTGGGCTGGCTGGTTCTAAAGGGGCTCTCGGATACAAACCTCCCAGCAGGCTGCCATGTTCTCCGGGCAGCCAGGCCCCTAAGGATCAATGAACCTCAAGACTCGTCAGCAACCCCCAGTTATTTTAATTTTGCCCCTTCTAGTTTCTCCAATGCCCTGCAGCGTTGCCCCAACAGGCAATAAGGTAACATTGCCCTGCTGCCCCTGTGGCAGTGTTGCCAGGTCCCACCAGTAAGAGGAGTTTTATAGTGTTGCTCTACTCAGTTTTTTGATTATACTGGCAAATTACACTGAAAAGATTATGCTGATTTGTTTCTTTTCAATTTAACCATATTACAACACATAAAAATGGATGAGAAAGCCATGGCAGTTAAAGCCTTTTGCAAGTAATGCTTATTTGATTGGTCATACTAATAAATTGTAGATCATTTAAGAAGTGCAGCTATGAATAGATTACCCAGTAGGATTAGTGGCTTCTTTGACATCTCACCACTAACTTAATTTATGTGACCAGAATGGATCAGGTTTATGTTTTTTAAAGCAATCCTATACAGTATTCAATTTATTCTGAAGCCACTCTGGGGTGGGGGCTGCTTGCAGGATTGGGTCTTTGGCATTTGGAAGAAATGCATGAGGATCAAAATGCAGCAAATTAATGTTTGTTGAGTTTCTTCCATACATGCTTATTTACTTGAATCCTCAGCTGTTGTAGTGCCATGGATTTAATTGATTTGTGCTAGCTGAGCATCATCCCAAGGCATGTAAACTCCAGGCAATACCCTTTAAATTGCTTTCAGTGTGGCTTATTGATGTAACATAATGTGGTAGAAATTGAGTGAAACTGCCACTACTGATTGTCCTTTCCCCCACCCCCTTAAAAGTGCCATTGGAAAGGCTACCATGCTGCCCATCTGTGCCTCTGAAACTGCAGCTCACGTGCTACAGCATCTTTTGGTTTTGTATCAGTCTCTCTGTTTGTTTGGGTTTTTTTGTTTGGTTGGTTTTTGGATTTTTTCAATGTGTCTCTATTTACACCAGCAAAAAGCCACTCAGTGCTCACCCTAAACCCTGCCCCAAGAGCATCCACCAAACCCACCAGCTAGGTTGATGGAAGGAGAGCGTGGATCAAAACCATGTCCTGCCTCCTGCACTGGCTGGGGGGTGGCACAGGGTGGCAGGAGGGTGGCTATTAAGACCCAGGAGCTGTTGGGAAGGCTGGTGCATTTTAGCAGTTGCTGGGTTTCCTGTTGTGGTTCACTGTCACCCAGAATGGTCCCAGTTTCAGAGAACGCCGTGGCTGCCTGACCTGCGTTTGAATGCAGTCAATGGTTGAGCACTGGCATGGAAAAATTATGACACTGTGCCAAAATGTAGCAGGAGTGTCCTGCTTTTGGGTGCTGGGGTGGATAGACTGCCCGTAGGTAGGAGAGCAACTCATGCACCGAGCCACAGGGTTATCAGTGAGCTGGAGTGTAGTTAGAAGTTCTTCCTTTTTTGCTTCAGATCACATGGCATTTGCATTTTATTTCACTGCTGCAGTGTAATTTTCTTGCTTTTGATACACAGAGTGAAACAAGTGAGATACTTTCTCCTGTTTGGCATTGGTACTATATTCAGTGTTTTGATGTTCTTCAAAATATAAGTTTATACTGACAAAATTCAGAAAACACTATGTATGATAACATTGAAACATGTCTGATTATCTTGCTAGACCTATTTTTTCCTTTAAAATATTTTTTTTGCCTTTTCTCTTTTTTTTTTCTCTCTTTTTTTTTTTTTTTTTCCAAACAGGAAGAGAAAATCCCTTCAGAAGAGACTCTTCTTCATGTAAGTGTTATTTATGCTTGTTTATGAAATTACAAAAGGGCTATAAAGCTCATTAAAACGTAAAAATACTGAACATTTACCATCTGTTCATAGAAACCAAGTATAGAGCATGCAAAAATAGGCTGTAGTTATACAGTAATAATGTTCAGTAACTGTTATCTTAAATCTCTCTGTGCAGTTCTTCTGTGCCTATCACTGCAGAATTTAGAAACCATTGGAAAGCACTTTGCAGACATTTAAGGAGCATGCCTGTAAAGTTGGTGTGTAAATACTGGAGGGATCATATTAAAGTGGTTTGCCACTTAGGAGACCCTAAGTGAGAGTTTGTTTTAGCACCCCAGAGTCCTTGAATCCCAAACCCTGTGACAAGAGTGAGCTTCTCTGCCTTGGATCCTACACAATCCAAGTTCTGCCAATAGAGCCATTTGTTTGCGTGCATGTGTACTAACTAGTGTGTGTGTGTGTGTGGGTAAGAGAGAGTGTGTATGTGTGTATTTGCCCTCGAATAGTCTGTAGGTATTTCAGGCCTTCTCTACAACCTATGGAGATACCCATTAAAATAAGAGTAGATGCCACCAGCCATTGGTGAATACTGTTGCAAATGTTTTGTGAAAGCATTTGGCTCCAGGCTGACTGCTCGGTCTGGGTGAACATGGTACAGTATTTTTCAGGGGACTAAGAAAGCTGCATGTCATAAAAATAGAACAATTTGGGTTTGGTTTTTTTTTTCCACACCATCTAGTGACTTGGTTTGCTTGCAGATTGTGGATTTGAAAACTCTTGAGCAGTATAGGAAGCAGTCTAGTATAGAACACTCTGCTCCGGTGTTTCTTCCTAGTAAATAAAACTGATTAAATGTGTTCAGGGGCTGCATAGATGAAGACTCTCATTCCCTTTATGCAAAACTAGCTTAGCAAGGAAAACGACTGCATTGTTCCCAATGCAGGACCTGCTTTGCATAACTTCCAAGCATGTACTGTGTCCAGTAGCATGGCAAGCCCACGAGCACTCACCTCAGGCTGATTTCCCATAAGTCAACTTTTTTGTTGTTTTGGTTTTTTTGTTCAATAACACGTACCTCAGAATTGCAGCACTCCATTATGCTTGCGTAGCAACTGCTGGTTAATATGTAGCAAAACGCCGTGTGGTAACAAATGTTTTTTTGCTATTGTTGAGCTGGAATGTTAGTTCAGCTTCTAGATAAAAGTGGCTTGCGCAAGGCGCCCTGGTAGACCATGATTTCTAGTGGCTTGTACGGTAGTTCTGTAGGCAACTGTGTTCTGCTTTTCCTCTCCCCTGTGCTTCCTTCATCTTCCATTTGAGCAAGGGGTGGGCTTAGGTACAGGCAGGGAACTGGCAGCCCTTTGCATCCTGCAAAGGACCAGTATGAAGTTTATATGAAGCCCGTTGCTAGTCAAGCATCTGTTGAAAACATTCTTTATTCTGGTTGTGTTGCGAGCAGAAATGTTGTAAGATGCTTTATTTAATAGCTTTAAACCACAAGTGTTCTTTGGCTGGTTTTATGGATATCATAAGACAACGTTTCCAATCAAAAAAACCAAAACAAAAAACTAAGTGAAGGATACCCCACGAAGGACTAAAGAATCCTCCTTCCCTGCAGCTGGAATCCTAACTGAGGCTAGCTTAAGAGTTTGTATCCTTGAGAGGGTACATAATCATTTTTAAAGGTAATGGAGAAGGAAGAATTCCAGAAGAGTTTTGATGATGACCATTTTCAACATTTGTAGCTCACTTTATTTCATTGTAGTGTAGGGAATTCAAACCTCTTGAAAAGCCTCTGAAGCACATGTTTCCCAGAGATTTTAAACGGGTAATAGTGCTACAAAACCGCCTTTCAGGGAAGAAGCTCCCAAACAGAGAAGAACCCAAACAGATGGACCCTACAGCAGTGCCTGTATGGTGTCTGGAAACTGCAGAATAAGTGTGCAGTGCAGATCTGAAGGCTTTTGTCTGGATATTTCAGTATCACAGACAAGTCATCTAGAGCTTCCTAAGACAAATACATATACTCCAAAATTAATGAATAATGAAACGTTTGTGGTCCAGAGGCCATTTGCGGTGCTGCCTTCCATCACCTGCTGTGGCTTTTCAGCAGCTAGTGGCAAGCTTTGAGCATCAGAGCCTCTCTCTTCTGGTTCTGTGCATGAAATATTACTTTGACTCAATAACTCTATTTGTGCCTGTCTGTGCATTGGCTCCCCTTGGCTTCTTCAGCTGTGTGAGTCTCCAAAAGCGTGTTAAGCTCCAGGGGTGGGAATGGCAGGATCGTGAAGCATCCAGGACAGGGACCTCTCCCAGGCCCTGTTCAGAGGGGGTTGACTCCTGTGGCGGTGAAATCTCAGTGGGGATTAACCCCTCAGGACTGTAGCATGGACCGGTCACCATGACAGGAGGTGACCAGTTTGAGAAAAGACTCTTTGTGACAGTAACCAGCCATATGTAGTTGTAATGATAAGAGAGGGACCGTCTTATTGCAGTCACTTTGCGACAAATACTACCACAATTCATTACTTTCCATCAGTGCCTCATCCTATGGAGGAATCACCACTGCCCATCTACATTGAGGAGGGGACAGAAGTCCCGATTGGTGAGTGCAGTTGGATGGGATTTTTTTAAGGGGGGGTATAATGGTACTTGGGTTTATATTCCTCACGTTTGTGTATACCCATTTGTCATTGAAAATTGTAAGGCCTGTTGCAAATGTTTGGGGATTTTTATTTTACTTTCTTGATGCAAGTGTATTTTAGAGCTCCTGAGAACTATTAAATACTGCTAGTGTTGGTTTTCAGCTAATCATAAATCAAAGCACATTAAATTATGCAGTGACATGAAAAGCTTCTGTGCAGAATCTCTTAACACAAGGCTGGGGAAGACCAAGAGTATCACAAGAGGTAGTTCCCACTTCAGCCTTTGACCTTGGTGTTGAGATACTCAGAGTAATCTGCCAGCTGGGTCAGCAATTTTTGTCCTGCTGACACTGTCCTGCCCAGCACCCAGCAAACTCACGTTGCACACACCACTGAAGAGCCAGAAGTGAGCCAGAGAGGTTTGTCCTTCCCTGCGTTGCACATCAGAGTGCTGCACACCCCACTTCTGAGCTCTGGTGTGCATGTGTTGTCACTACAAGGGTAGTTATTTAGGTTTGGGTGTTCTGGGTTTTTTGGTTTTGAGGATTTTTTTATTAGTGTTTTGTTTTTGTTTTTTAAATAAAAGAGCAGTCTTTCAGATAACCCACAAAGAATGAGAGTAAAAGATTAATAAGCTGGACTGTGGTGATCTCTTTGGGCTGTAGAGACCTGTGACTGCAGCATTTCCCAGGGTTCCTTCCTTATTCAGCCTGTTTTCAGTTGTATACAGTGTGTCCCTCAGCTACCACTTTGGGAGTCTGCCCTGTTAGGCAGATGTGTCTCTTCAAATAACTTTCTTACTATATATCCTGACTTTTTCCATTCTTAAATTCAAGCAATTTCTTCTCGTCTCACTGTCTTTTGAGCTGGATTAACTACCTTCCTACACACAGTACCTTGGAGGTATTTATAGCTGGATCTCAGCCCAGGAGTCTTCTCATTTATAGAACATATTAATTTAGCTCTCTTACTCTCAGATAATTTTTATTGTCCTTATTTGTATTTCCTTTAATTTTTCTATCTTTTTTCTAGTCTGTGGAGACTTGTACATCTCCTGCTTTATCCACTGTGGATGTTTTGGCTTAGTATTATGCTGTAGATTTCCTTATCATTGCCTCCTATGCACACATCCAGAATTAGCTTAGTCTTTGACACTTCTCCTGTATCACTCAGTAGTATCACACAGAGAAACTCTCACCTGCAATCACCTTTGAGTCTGTCTTGGTTTCATGGCTTCCCAGCTAACTGCTCCTCAAGCAATGTTACTGGTCTCCTGAGATGTAGGGCTTCTAGCACTAAATTCCTATCCTGTTGCATGCCACTTACTTATTTTACCCAGGAATTAAGACAGTGTGCCTATGTATTTATTTATTTATCATTTACATAGAAGTTATTTTTTTATCATAAATAGAGCAAAGTACTTACAATGGTATATTTTGATACCTATTGCAACTCTTCTCTGTACATTACTCCAGACTCTTTTCCCAGTTCCAGCATCCTTGTTTGCATACCTTCCTTAACTTTCCCTTCCTCTAATTATAAAAGTTCATAATGTAAAAGCTGACAGGTTTAGCCTTCTCCTTGTCTTAATTTTGGACCATTTCTCATTACACAATTAGTATATTCTTGCTATATGTCTCCTATGCATGGCACAATGTGGTCTTTCCCACAGCAGATCATCTTTTCCTCACTTCTTCTGGGACTGTAGTCAGCTCAACATCAGTCCCCTCTTGTAAAACCACTGAGACTAAGTTCTGTCATGGCCCCTGGGATTTCATCTTGTCCTTCCCAGTGCACTAAGGAGACCTGGACTGCCAGGACATTGGTACCTGCACCAATAAAAATATTGTAAGGCTGATAAATTACAAAACTGGCTAAACAAACAGAAAAAAAACCCAAGCCAACAAGCCAACCTAAGAGTGAGAAACTTGTTTAGAGGATGTTTGTTTGGTGCTGTCATTAAGCAGGTTTGTTGGATCAGGCTCTGAAATGCAGCAGTAGCTGTAAAATGGCCCGGCTGGGTTGGGAAGGGCATCGTGTTTACTTATTTTAAATAAGTATCTGGACTGTCAATACAGGAAGCTGTGGTTGAGGGGGAACGAGTGGAAAAAATAAATGATGCAGAGATGAGAGCAAACCACAAGCTCCAAGTTTGGCATGTGAATGCCTGACATGGGTGAGGGCTTTTATAATAGTTGGATACAGTGTAAATCTAAATCGTCAAGCTGGGGAGTCTGCTGCAGAAATAGGACCTGGCTCTCAGTTTTGGTAGTACTTTCCACCGAGCTTAGCAGCAGGATCCAGATCCAGGGTGCCCCTTTGCACCTGTATAGACCAGAATAGGAATAAAAAGAAGTCCTCTGAGTTTAGGTTGATGAAGAGTAACAAGCAATGTGCTTGGTTAAACAATTCAGCACAACCATCATTTACTTTTAAAAAGCTGTTTGGAGAACTTAGCTTATTTCTTCATCTAAACCACATTTTGGATACTGTTCTGGCCCAACCCTGACTGGTGATGGTAGATCGCTTTGTAGCTTCCGTATTTATGAAAAAAAAAATAGAGAAATCAGTAGGTTTTTCAAAGTCTAAATTTAACAACCCTAATTATTTCAAGCGATTTAAAAAGGAACATAAATCTTGCTTGTTTATTACAGCTGCTTCATGAAAACAGCAGCTACCAATAACACCCTATAATGAAAATCTAGCTAGCACTGTCATGAATTAACCAACAAGAGAATGAGTGTATGGCTTTTGGAAAAAGGCAGCATTTCCTCCTCTGGAGAGGAATGTCTTTGCATTGTGGTGAAGGTGGTTATTACCCAAATGCTGGTTTCATCTTGGGTGAAATGAAGACATTAGCATTTCTACACAGACTAATATCACTTCTGATTGGAAGAAGGTCAGAGATCTGTTTATTTTTTTAATGCATTTTGCACTTTTTCAAGCACATTCCTAGAGGAAGGTAGGTAAACAAGATGCAACAAATACGGTAATAAATCAAAGATATTTCTGAGGAAATGGAGAATATTTTGTGAGCACTAGCAAAGAATCTACAGAGTAACAATAAAAGAGCACAGGTCAGACCCTGGCAGCCTTTGCTCAGACACAATTTCAACTGTCTTCCACACGATTAAACAGTTCAGGAGAAACAAGGCAAGGATATAAGCAGAGCAGGTTGTTATTCATCATTGCCGTTCATGTGAAGGTCACGGCTGCATTCCCTGATCACCACTTGAAACCTGTTGTTCTAAGCACTGAAGAAAAAACAGTCCAAATTTACATTTTGTACAGGAAAAACCCAGGAACAAAATATTTGTATTTGCAGTCATTTTATTTGGCCATTACAGAAGATCACCAAGGGAATTGCTTCCTTGGGGATCAAGGAGCAATAGACCTGTAGATTGAGATGTTTGTTTCTGTTATTCCTGCTAGGTTTAATAACTTAGAAGTTATTAAAACTTAGCTTAAAAACTTCTACATTTAGTAAGTTTAATACCTATTAAATTAGCTGCAAAGACATCTAAATTCAGGCTCTTAATTTTTAACTCATTTACTTCAGCATAGCTTTGCTGATTCCAGCAGCATTTCTATTGCTTTATCGTTGTATAAACAGGATCAAAGTCAGACCCTCTTTCCCTTTTGGGAATGACTCCTGCTGACCTTGAAACCTGTGGCACTTCTGCTGTAGGTTTGAGTCCTACATGGATAAAGTCCCAGTGGGCTGGTTCTGTTTACTGATCCACTTTACTAATGAATACTCTTGGCTTCAGTGGACTTATTTCAAAATTATGCAAGTGTTACGTAGATGTTGCCTGTATAGGATCCTACATAGGACTCCTCCAACACCCCTCCCCCCATTAAACCATCTCAAGATGATGGAAAGCTCCATTAGCACTCTGAAGCCACATTCTCTTGGTGACTCACAAGTCATGGCGTAGCCTGGTCTCATTTGCTTAATCTTGATTATGGGAAATGAATATTCTTTTAATTGCACACAGTTTCTTCTTCTGCTGCTCAATCCCTGCTTTTAAGCATCTCTGATGTCTTATTGATGATAAAAACTGGATTTCCAGTCTACCTCTGCTCTTGGGCAGACTCACTGAAAGATAGATGCTTTGATTTACTTTTTTTTTCCCCTTCAATAAGAGCTGCTTCATAGGCAGGTCGAGCATAGGAAATGCACCTTTCCCAGGCAGGGAGAGTGTTTGGCACCTTCTGGAGAGCTGGCTCTGTCTCTCTGGGAGGTTGCCTGCCTTTGTGAGAGAAGAGAACCACTTCTGTCATATGCGCTTCAGGGTTTGCTCTTTCATGGGGTTCTGGCATATGGAAAGCTTGATTTTTGCCAGGTACTGAGTGTCTTCTGCAAGGCATTGAGTGCCCTCCTATCCTTTGCAGCCAAAAAGGAGTTGATTGCTCTTGGCATCAGGCAAATCTGGACCCAGAAGACCACAGGTAGTATTTACCAATTATTTATGTGCTTTTGCATGCCAGAGGTTGTCTGAATTGATTCCCCTAGCGTACAAGAGATTTCAGGCATTAATGACACTTGCCTGCCACTAAAACCATTATTTTGTTTTTTAAAAATAAAAATAATACAATAACAAGCATGACATTTATTGCACTGCCATGGGGACATTAAAAACACCCCAAATTAACTACAGTCCAAGTAACTATTAGCTCTTTAGAGCTCTTGGAAATGTGTGAGTTACATACCCTGAATGAGCACCATATGCCAATTTATTGTGGCACAGTGAGTCACAGGACACATTGTGGAAAGTAATAACTGCTTGGCACGCATTGTAACTTTCAGTAGGGCCTTTTGTTTGGTTTCCTTAAAGGAACCTGTTTTTACTCTGACAATAAAATGAGTATTGTCTGATATGCTGCCACCAGGGACTGTTGCTTATTTTGTACTTAACCTGGAGCTCACCCATTTGTCACTCACCTTCTGTATCTTTTC